TACAGATAATTTAAGATAATTTAGCATGAAAACGAAATGCAGGCCCTTGTTTTTGGTGGTATCAGACGAAAAGGTTACCCTCCGCAAACTCAATGCGGAGTAAGGGTTTTGTGGGAGACACGAAACAATCGGAAAACCCTTACGCAATGTCGCCGTTGTCAAGGATGGGGGCATGTGTCGTCAAACTACAACCGGAACTTCAAATGTTCCAGGTGTGCTGGGGCGCACGAAATCACATCCTGCACTCCTGGTGCAGTTTTTAAGTGCGCAAACTGCGGCGGTGCACACCGCAGTTTTGAAGACCAGGCTGCCCAGTGAGCTCAACTCGCTGGCGGACTTTCCACCACTAGTCCGTCAGGCAGCTCCACCTCCGCTCAACTCTTTAACAAGCTCCGCTCCCCAAGTCCATAGTGCAAATCGGAATGCGGTGGCCATGCTTGATAGCGTCCAGCATGAATTCGCTGAGCTCGCAATGCAGGTAAACTTGCAGGAGACGCCGCATTGAAGAATTGCGCTACGAAAACAGAAACATTTCTTGTTTCCGCGCAATTCTTCAACGAGGACATTAACAGCTTCGATTTTTAAGCACTGATATTGTCAACTGTGCCCTATGAGAATTGGTGAGTGGAACTCATGTGGACTCCGTTGTCGTCTCGGCGAGTTCGTCCAGTTTCGCGAGTCTTACGATGCCGATGTGGCGCTAATCGTGGAAACATGGTTGCGCTCCGGAGACCGAATCAAGATTCGAGGATACCGGCTAGAGCGCTCAGACAGGCACGGTAGTAGAGGTGGAGTTGCCATAGCAGTAAAGACAACAATACCGTACAGGAGACTGCCATACATACAGTCAGTAATAGAGAACGTTGGCGTTGAGCTTCCTGATGGTTTGTTGATTTACTGTGAGTACTCTACTGCTAGACACTTACAGGCCACAGATGTTGATCCATTTTACTCAAACACCAATAGGGTGTTGCTTATGGGAGACCTAAACGCTTGCCATCCATACTTTAATAACCTTGGACAGAAAAACGCAGCTGGCACTTTTCTTGCCAACTACGTTCGTGACAATGGCCTACTTGTTATGCCCACAAATTCTCCAACTCACTATCCAAGCAATCGAAGGAATCCATCCTTCCTTGACTTTGGAATTGCCAAAGGACTCACCAATCTCACGGAGATGGTGGTAGTAGACTCCCTCAGCAGTGACCATTTACCCATTTACCTTGAAATCGATACTCATATGAAAATTTCGATTTTCGCGAATATCGAAAGAGACTACGGGACCAGACGTATATTCCGGGCCAAATCGATACTGTCGAAGCTTTAGAGCTTGCAGTAAAAGGTCTGACCAGAAATATACAACGGACACAACAAGTTTTAGCCAGAAAAGTGCCTAATAGGCCTCAGCGTGACAACCTTCCTGAGGAAATTTTGGACCTTAAGGCGGAAAATCGAATCAGGAAGCGTTGGCAACGATTTCGGCAATCTGCCGATCGCATAATGACAGCTAAGCTTGCACAAGACATTCAAAGCTAAATTTCCGCTTACCGGAATTTCACCTGGGCGGAAAAATTGCGAAACTTAACTCCCCGTGACAATTCTTTGTGGCAACTGTCGAGAAGAATTCGAAAAGGCTATGAGCACGTCCCCGCTGTTGAAAAAGAGGGGAGGAGTTACATTTCCACCAATGACAAGTGTGAGCTTCTCGCAGACTTTTTGGCAGAGGTGCACAAAGTCCAACCATCCCCTCAGGATAGCGAGATAGAAATACCGACCGCTGTTTTTGTAGAACGGAAGTATCCTATCCCCCCCCTCAATTTTGCACTCCTATATTACAACCCCGTCGGAAATACAATCGTGTCTTCAGCGTCTCCTTAGCCGAAAAGCCCCTGGGCCAGACGGCATCCCATATCTACTCCTTAAAAACTTGCCGCGGAAAACTTTTGTATTAATAGTACAAATAGTCAACGCAATCCTGAAACTACAGCATTTCCCACAGGACTGGAAAAGCGCTGTAATAATTCCAATTTTAAAGCCGGGCAAAAACCCGGCTGATCCTGCCTCTTATAGGCCTATTTCCTTCTTAAACACCCTCGGCAAATTAACTGAGAAGGTTATTCTTTCGGAGTTGCAAGCGGCAGCCGAACTTAGAAGTTTAATTCCGGACGAGCAGTTTGGCTTTCGGCCCAAACATAACACAACGCTGCAGACTGCTAGGATCGTAACAGA